ATTTATCTCGTACCCTTGGTACGTGAGGATATGCCACGATGGTTGCCTAGCCAACAAATACAGTTGCTCATCAATATTGTTATCGCCTTGACATTCTTTTCGCAACCAATCACTGAAACTTTCCATGTGCTGACGCCTAATCCAAGCTTCAGTCTTCCCTGGAAACTTGGATCGTAAGAACTCCTTATGTATCTCGATGTACGGATGCACCAATAACGAGTTCTGAAGAACTGTGTAGTGTGCTTTATTGAAATAATCGTCTTCCATGCCGATATATGTTTTCTTCCCTAAAGTTCCTTTACCACTGAGTCTCCCCTTGTGTCGCGATTTGAGAACGCCAATCGGGGCAAGGTCAGGAATAAAGTCAACACAGAACTCAATGACCTCCTCTGGTCCATAGCCCTGGGCGATGCTTCCTTCAGGCTTAGAACGGACTTTCACATATTTCTTCAAGACTCCCATAAACCTCTCGAAGGAGAACATGTTATATAAGAACACAGGTCCAAGAATACTAATCTCCTTCACCAAATGAAATAGGAGGTGTGTCATGATATTAAAGAAGGATGGAGGGAACACTAACTCAAAGCTGACAAGACATTGAACCACATCATTCTGTAGAGTAGCTAGTTCCACTGGATTGATTGCCTTCTGAGAAATTGCATTGAGAAATGCACATAGCTTCACGGTGGCTAGACGTACATGTGGAGGTAGAATTCCTCTTAAAGCAACTGGAAGCAATTACGTCATAAGCACGTGGCAGTCGTGGGACTTTAAGTTTAGGAATTTCTTCTCGGCACATTTATTATACCCTTTATATTGGAGGAGAATCCCGATGGGACCTTGATGCTGCTTAGACATTCGAACATGCTATCCCTCTCTTCTTTGCTAAGCGTGTAGCTAGTAGGACTTAAGTAATGACGTCCATCATCTGTCTTCTCTGGATAAAGGTTGTCTCGTTCTTTCATGCCCTGCAAGTCCTGGCGTGCTTCAAGTGAATCCTTTGGCTTCCCGTACACACCCATGAATTCTAACAGGTTCACACAAAGATTCTTTGTCAGGTGCATCACGTCGATTGCGTTGCGGACCTCTAGGACTTGCCAATAGGGTAGCTCCCAAAAGATGGACTTCTTCTTCCACATGGGTGCGTGTCCCTTAGCATCTTTGGGAACAGATTCGCTGCCTTGTCCCTTTCCAAATACTACTTTCACATCCTTGACCATTGCGAGTACATCTTCCCCGGTTCGGTTATGAGGCTTCTTCCGGTGGTCTGGCTTACCTTTAAAATGCTTCTCTTTTTTTTACTTGGTGATTGAAAGGAAGGAATCGACGATGGCCAAGGTACATGACCTTTCGACATCTTTTCAAATATATACTGTCAAGGTCATCAACAATGTGTGCATGCATTATATCCTTTGTTTGTCTAACCTGAAAGATTACTTAAAGCAGGCCAATCATTGATTGTTACGAACAACATTGCTCGTAGGTCAAAGCGTTCTTGTTTGTACTCATCCCAGACACATACACCTAGTTTGTTCCATAAAACTAGAAGTTCTTCAACTAATGGCTTCAGATAGACATCAATGTCGTTGCCAGGTTGCCTCGGACCTGGATGAGGATTGACATCATAATGAACTTCCGCTTCATGCATAACCATGGAGGAAGGTTGTAGATACATAGAGTAACTGGCCAAGTGCTATGACTAGTGCTCTGTTCCCCAAAAGGATTCATACCATCTGTACTTAAGGCAAACCTTAAGTTTCTAGCCTCATTTGCAAACTCTGGAAATTCCCTATCTATCGCTCTCCACTGGGATCCATCAGCTGGGTGTCTCAGCATATTGTCTACCTTACGGTCTTCTTTATGCCACCGCAACAACTTTGCATGGTCTTTATTTCTGAACAAATGTTTTAAGCGTGGTATTATAGGAGCATACCACATAACCTTGGCAGGGATTTTCTTTCTAGGACGTTGTTCACCCTCGACGTCACCAGGATTATCGCGCCTGATCTTATACCGCGATACTTTACATACCGGGCATTCATCCAAATTCTCGTATTCATTGCCATAGTAGAGGATGCAGTCATTAGGACATGCATGTATCTTCTGGATTTTTAATCCCAAAGGGCAGACAACCTTTTTTGCTTCATACGTAGTGGTGGGCAATTCATTTGGCTTCAGAAGCATCTTCTTTATGAGGTTCAATAAATTACCAAATGCCTTGTCGGATACACCATTCTTTGTCTTCCACTGTAGCAATTCCAGTGTTGTACCCAGCTTTTTTTGCCCCTCTTCGGCCATCGGGTATAGCAACTTCCTATGATCCTCAAGCATGCACTCGAACTTAACTTTCTCTTTTCACTTTCGCATTCTTGTTGTACATCACGAATGGCATCTCCAAGAGCATCACCGAGATCATCTTCTGCCGCTACCTCTTCTTTATCTTCCCCCATTGTAGTATCATCAAAGGCACCATACTGAGCAATAATGTCATCAATGTCTAAATCTTCTCCTTCACCTTCTTCCATCATGACCCCACTTTCTCCATGCTTAGTCCAACATATATAGTTTGACATGAAACCTGAGTTAAGCAAATGTGAATGAAGACTCATTGAACTTGAATATTCTTTCAAATTCTTACATAGGACACATGGACAGCACATGAAACCATCCCACTTATTTGCCTCGGCCACACCTAAGAAATAGTGCATGCCCTCAATAAAGTCTTGGGAGCGGCGATCGGCATTGTACATCAATGGCGTGACATAATCTGTATTACATGACAAATTATGAAAACCTTGAACATAATTAAGTATTTTATTACACAACATAGATGATACACACACGGTTGATTAATTAACTAAGCCTGGCTACAACGTAAGCAATCCCAACTATCGCTAAACAAACTAAAACTATAATGCACTTCAGTAACATAATTATTTCGTGACCGTACGCAACTAAAACAGACAAATCATTCGTCTGTTGAATATCAATAAGCTTCTCCTGCTGGCTCACTGCCTCATCATCAGCAGCCGCTACCTTAAGCGCACCCGAATTCTGCACGTATGTAGCATAATCTTCCTCCAAGTACCAACCATCGCATCCATTGCCCTCCCACTAAAATTAAAGCCAAAAAATATTTAGTCAAAAATATTCAAGAAAAGCAGGTCAATTAACCATAATAATCAAATGCGTAAGAAACTCACATCGTGATCCGGGCACTTGTAGAAAATATGACCCTTGTTGGGTCTCTGTCTCTTGACTCGGTACTCCATCACAATCTTCTGCTTACACTTGCCACAGATAATGAGAGGGAGTCCTGGCCTTAGTCGTTTCACAACCGAACGAGAGGCCGAGGATTCGGTACCAGTTGTCATCTACTTTCTATACTTATTTTTGCAAACTAGTATAAATTTTACATTTTCTAAAATAATATATTTAAACAAAACTAAAATTATTTATTTATTTAACTAAACCATGAAATATGTACTATGTATAATAGTAAAATAACAAACTATCAAGTGATTTTACTATTGTAAATTATCATGTGATTTTGAGCTAAAAATGGCATAGAAATCATAATCAAATCCACCATATCAAGTTACTTTCTATACTTATTTTTGCAAACTATTATAAATTTCTCATTTCTAAAGTAATATATTAAAAAAAAAATAAAAATATTTATTTATCTAACTAAACCATGAAATGTACTACATATACTAGCAATACTAAACTATCAAGTGATTTTGATGAGCTAATTTAACTTTTGTTTATCCAAACATATATGCAAATCATCATGTGATTTTGAGCTAAAAATAATATAAAATCATAATAAAGTCCAACATATAAAGTTACACATGCATCTACATCGCAAAATGAGATAAGCTACTGATAAAACATAAGAGGATTAAGTTTGTTACCTCTAAAATCAAAGAGCAACACCAATGGAGGGGGAGAGAGCAAGAACGACAGCAAACTGAAGAACAGAGGCAGTGAGTTTGAATAGAATGGCTCGGACTCGGGAGAAAAAAATAAGCTGGTCTATAGGCCGGGATAATTAGTCTCGGTTAGGGGGCCAAACCGGGACTAAAAACTTTAGTCCCGGCTGGTATTACTAACCGGAACTACCCGGTTGGTAATACCAGCCGGAACTAAAGATCCCTGCCCCGCGGACGACCATTGGGCAAGAACCTACCAACCGGGACTAAAGGAACCTTTAGTCCCGGGGAAAAATATCGAGGCTAATGCTAAATTGGGACATTATTCTAAAATCTGTTATATAATAGTGAGAACTATCTCCTTTGCCCGTGCGTGAATAGAAACTTGTCCAAAAATCCATCTTTTCGTCAAAAACTTCGAGTGCAGAGCGGACGGAAGACCTGCAAGAAACTGCTTGGTTCAAGTCCGGAACAGTGAATAGTGAAACTTCGACGCCGTGAAAATAGTCAACGGGCAGGACAATTGTGGAGCCGGGCACCCTCTTGAATCTCACCTGTATGTATTGTTTGTCTAACTAGCGCCACCACCACACCTCAACACAGGGAGGAAGAGGACGAGGGCAAGCCGAGGGCGAGGGCACGAGGCGCAGGCCTGCGCAGCGAGAAGCAGAGTAGTGCTCGAGGAGGGATGACTCACACTCACTGTACCGACCAGAAACGCATGCATTGCTCATGTACCGTGTTGCTGCGGCCTGGGTCACTGACTACTCACTATGCATTTTCCGGTATCCATCCCAAGGGAAATACATTTGCAGTGTCTGCCGTCCAATGACGCATATCCTGCTTTCAGGAAAAATATTACATACCAGCATGATTATAATAGTTGCTAATCTCCATCTTAAGTTATACATACATGTTTTCACCACGTAAATGTTTACAGGAATCAGAAACTCATGTACCATAAAACTTAACGGTCCATTTCAGGTTTCACAAGCTAATGCTCTGCTCACCTTATTATCATACTACCAGCACCAGACCACAATGCAAAGACATGTAAATATTTCTTCACTCATCTTCCTCAGAGATTTCAGTAAGCTCCGATGAGAAATGGTAAGAATCTGCAGCAGGCATATTATGATCATTATCACAGAAGAATGGCCTAGAAGGCATTTGCAGGCCATCAGTGCCACACTCGAGCATCTCTATGACCTCACTCATGGTCGGACGATCTTGCGGCTTCATTTGAATGCACCGTAGCCCAACGATGCACAATTTCCTCTCCAACTCATGCATGTCAGACGCAACAGATATCTCACCAACTTCTTGTGCGGCTAGACGATCATAGACCCAGGCTGGGTAGTATGCTTGACTTGAGTTGGCTGCATTTTTGTCTGCGTTCCTTCGCCCTCCCGCCATCTCTAGCAGTAGCATACCAAAGCTATACACATCAGATTTGCTTGAGATGGTGCCAAAGCTACGAGATACCATTTCAGGAGCTATGTACCCAATAGTTCCCCGCATGGCGCTCGCTGGCACGAAGCTCTTGTCTCTCGGGTACAACTTGGCAAGGCCAAAATCAGCAACTTTTGGGACAAAATTGATATCAAGCAGGATGTTGTGTGGCTTGATGTCAAAGTGAAGGATCTGCATATCGCACCCTAGGTGCAAGTAGTTGATTCCCCTTGCAATGCCCAAAGCAATCTCATTAAGCTTATCCCAAGAGAAACTTCTCTCGGCTGAGAATATGTACTTGTCAAGAGAACCATGGGGCATGTACTCATACACCAATGCCCTCCTCATTTCCTCTGCACAGAACCCCACAAGACGAACCACATTGATGTGGTGGATCCTACCGATGGTGGAGACCTCGCTGATGAACTCGTCACCGTTGCAATTGGAGTTGCCCAGCATCTTGACGGCTACATGCACATGGCCTGGGAGTAGCACGCCCTTGTATACGGAGCCGTATCCTCCCTGACCGAGCTTGTCTCTGAAATGGCTAGTGATCGCAGTGATGTCTGTGTAGGCAAACCTAGTGGGACCAAGCATTTGTTGCATTTGGAGGAACTTCTCGACTGCGTCGATTGTTATCCTTGTTTTCCAGTACTTGTGGGCAAGGAATATGAACACTACCAGTGCAGGGAGTAGGAGCCTGCATAGTACTAACCAAACAAGTTGCAAATATATAAAGTTAGATGACATAAGCAGGTTACTGAAAATTTTTAATCGCGATGATTAGAAAGAAGTAGGCACACGCCCACGCACCAAAATGTAACTTGGCCACACTTATTGCAGATACTATGGCTACCACGACCCTCTGGAACATATGATTTGAGGTATTGTGAAAGGTGACACATTGTGCGAAATGTGATTCACTCCAGAAGAAAGCACGAATCCATTTCAGGATGCTTGTGCCAAATAATTGCTCATGGAAGTAGCTGCAAGACACCATTGTAAATAAAGGAATTAAAGAAAGAAGCATATAGTTTTGGATAATTATATGAAACAAATTCCAAAGGAAGCAGAACGACAAGATAATTTTTTTTGAACGTAAGGAATGACAAGATAATCGATTTCATACTCGATGCGGAGCACAGATTCACCTGGCTGAATTATTTCGGCATGCTTCCAATATCCAAGAAGTATTCCAGACTCCGCCTGATAAATAATCGTCCACAGGAAATCGAACAGAAAATCCCTTCCTTACATATTCTATGATATCTGTATAATTGGTATTCTCTAAATTTTTGGATGTGTTAGTACGCGAGCTACCAATGGGGATCATGGCCAAGTATCCACAAGAAGGTCCAAGAGAGCTGACTATACAATAGCCAGAAACAGAAATCATGACATAAACAAAGGAATTGTTCGCACTCAGGCAATTGACGGGCTTGTAGCGGCTACTATTTGTTATTGATTGTGAACAATTAATGAAGCATGCCCAATCATCGTCAACAAGGCCTAAATCAGAATGGAATACATACCAGCTCGTATAACTGTTAGGAAACATGTCATGTAAGGCCTGACCACTTCTCCAGTACGACGATCCCCAAGTGTAAGTGTAAGGAAACTGATCCCAGCGAGGAAGAGGGCAGCTGCTGTGCATATCCAAGTTGGCGTCCACAACCCGGAAAGAGTGAGCGGTATAGTTGATGCTGGTGACAAAATATGTCCCCGTGTTGATGCGAATAGTGGATTTGCCGTGGATACAGACCAGCTCGTATGCTTTTACACCGCACTCTGGTGGATCGCCTGGCCTACGGAAAGGGTAGGATATGTTGTGAAGATCACCACAGGAGAAATGAGGACAATGACCTTGGCCCCCAGCATCTGCAGCACGAACTGCAGTGACAGAAATGAAGACAAGCAAAGCTTTGCAGATAGCAGAAGGATGAAGAAATGCTGCACACGAGTTCGCCATGAGGGATTTCCGGATGCAGGATGCAGGATGCAGGAAGCTAGCTACAAGCTTAGTAGTGATGAAGATAGCCTAATTATAGATAAGCCAATAATGTCATAAGTTACCAGAGGCTGGCCCTGCATGATTGTGATGCTGCTTGACTTGGACCAAAATATTTTCCAAGTCAAATAAAGCATCCTCTCCCAAAGGGAAGGGCTTCTTTTTTTTTTTCTACAGCTATTTACAGTTGATGCGACAGGACTGGCTTGTGTTAACTCTAAACTCGCACTCGACTCCCTAGAGCACGGCAGCAAGTTTTCAATCAGAGTCGTTGGACGTCCTCCTCATCGACATAACGATGACATGCGCATGAGTTCGCCATGAAAGATTTCCAGATGCAGAGTATTGATAATGGCCAAACTATGGAGAAGCCAAGTACCAGAGGCTGGCTCTACTAGCTTTCTACTAGCTCTCTTTCGTTTGTATTTGTTGAACTCGTTCTGCTATTTTTTCAATAAATTACTGTAGGGGCCTCGGTCCCTCCAGAATCTTAAAAAAAAAAAAGTACCAGAGGCTGGCCATGCATGATTGGGGTTGTTTGACTTAGGACCAAAATATTTTCTAAGACGCGTAAGGCACGGATGAGATTGACAGGGCACTGCAATCACATTCAAATCGCTGAGGCACTGCAGCCAGACTTGGACCGGCACTTATTTTGCAGCAGCATCTTATCTTATTTGCTTCCTCCGATCCTCTTCCAGAATCTTCAAAAAAAAAAAAAAGTACCAGAGGCTGGCCGTGCATGATTGGGGTTGTTTGACTTGGACCAAAATATTTTCCAAGACGCGTAAGGCACGGATGAGATTGACAGGGCTCTGCAATCACATTCAAATCGCTGGGGCACTGCAGCCAGACTTGGACCGGCACTTATTTTGCAGCAGCATCTTATCTTATTTGCTTCCTCCGATCCTCTTCCATAATCTTCAGAAAAAAAAGTACCAGAGGCTGGCCGTGCATGATTGGGGTTGTTTGACTTGGAGCAAAATATTTTCCAAGACGCGTAAGGCACGGATGAGATTGACAGGGCTCTGCAGCCAGACTTGGATCGGCACTTATTTTGTAGCAGCATCTTATCTTATTTGCTTCCTCCGATCCTCTTGCAGAATCTTCAAAAAAAAAAAGTACCAGAGGCTGGCCGTGCATGATTAGGGTTGTTTGACTTGGACCAAAATATTTTCCAAGACGCGTAAGGCATGGATGAGATTTACAGGGTTCTGCAATCACATTCAAATTTCTGGGGCACTGCAGCCAGACTTGGACCGGCACTTATTTTGCAGCAGCAGCTTATCTTATTTGCTTCCTCCAATCCTCTTCCAGAATCTTCAAAAAAGAAAGTACCAGATGCTGGCCGTGCATGATTGGGGTTGTTTGACTTGAACCAAAATATTTTCCAAGACGCGTGAGGCACGGATGAGATTGACAGGGCTCTGCAATCACATTCAAATCGCTGGGGCACTGCAGCCAGACTTGGACCGACACTTATTTTGTAGCAGCAGCTTATCTTAGGCCCTGTTTAGTTGCACTTTATTTTACCAAAATTTTCAAGATTCTCCATCACATCGAATCTTTGGACGTATGCATGAAGCATTAAATATAAATAAAAAATAAAACTAATTACACAGTTTAGACGAAATCGACGAGACAAATCTTTTAAATCTAATTAGACTATGATTGGACACTAATTGCCAAATAACAACGAAAACGCTATAGTGTCGTTTTGCAAAAAATTTGGTCATCCAAACTGGCCCTTATTTGCTTCCTCCAATCCTCTTCGAGAATCTTCAAAAAAAAAAGTACCAGATGCTGGCCGTGCATGATTGGGGGTTGTTTGACTTGGACCAAAATATTTTCCAAGACGCGTAAGGCACGGATGAGATTGACAGGGCTCTGCAATCACATTCAAATCGCTGGGGCACTGCAGCCAGACTTGGAGCGGCACTTATTTTGCCGCAGCATCTTATCTTATTTGCTTCCTCCGATCCTCTTCCAGAATCTTAAAAAAAAAAGGTACCAGAGGCTCGCCGTGCATGATTGGGGTTGTTTGACTTGGAGCAAAATATTTTCCAAGACGCGTAAGGCACGGATGAGATTGACAGGGCTCTGCAATCACATTCAAATCGCTGGGGCACTGCAGCCAGACTTGGACCGGCACTTATTTTGCAGCAGCATCTTATCTTATTTGCTTCCTCCGATCCTCTTCCGTCCGCTGTTGTTTCATAGCTCTGCTGTTAAGAAGAAGAAGAGATGACTGGATTTCTTGTCGTAGCTCTGCTGTTGTGTCTTCTCAAAGATGGAGCATACAAGGCCACGGCATGGGATGATGCCGACTTCTTCAGCAACTGCCCGCCATCTTGGTGCAGCGAACATGGTCCGGAGATCAGGTACCCTTTCCGGCTCGAATCCAGCAATACCTCGTCATTATGCGGAACACCATGCATGAAGCTAGGATGCTACGGCGACGACACCATTCTGGTTCTCCCAACAGCCGTTACCCAGTACAAAGTGACCGCCATAGATTACAGGCGTGGTACCCTCACGCTCGCCCCGCTTGTGGACGACTCCTCTCCCTCCTGCAAGCAGAAGCTCATGTCCATGTCCCTACCTGCAAGCATTATCAATTGTGAGGACCCGGACCCCTGCTCACTGCTATGCCGTAATGGATATGCAACGATAGTAAGCTGCTTAAGAGAGTTCATACCAAGTAATCTTGCTGCTAATTTCATCTCCGGCCCAATCTCGTGCCTTAGCAGCACGTCCCAGTTCTCCTATTTGGTGGCTGGTTATGCATCCATGTCTGTACTTCCACTAGATTGCAAGGTTGTGCCTGACAGCTACTTTCTGATGGCCACTGCCACTGCTCCTACAACATTGAAGGAGCAAGCAGAAACAATACTGGATTTCTCAGGGACAACAACGATAGGTTGGTATGGAGGTGTTGATGCCACCATCGCATACAACTGCACACAGTGTGAACGAGGTGGGGGACGTTGTGGGTTCAGCCCAGACAGGAATCAAGTATTATATCTAACTGGTCCGATCCTATCATACATTACGAGTCCTTACAAATTTTGATCCGATTCTTTGAAACTTCATAGATACTCCCTCCATTTCAAATTATAAGTCGTTCCAAGAATCTTGGAGAGTCAAATCATCTCAAATTTGACTAAAATTGTAAAGAAAATTATAAATATTTTTGACATCAAATAGGCATTACTATGAAAAATATAATTGATGAAGAATCTAATGATACTTAGTTGACATCATAAATATTATTATCTTATTATATAAATTTGGTCAAACTTGAAATACTTTGACTCTCCAAAATTCTTGAAATGACTTATAATTTAGGATGGAGGGAGCAGTTGTCAGCCTATATCTTGCAAAGTAGTACTGCGCCTGATTTTATTGGGAAGCCTCGCCAAGCAACCTATATATATAAATTGTTAAGGCCGAATGTAAAATAAATACAGAACAATAAGGGGGCAGATCCAGTGCCGAAGGCTCCCACATGAGTGGGGTCTGGGGAAGGGATAAACCGAGACAAGCCTTTCCCCCGCAAAATCTGCGGAGAGGCTGCTTCGAACCCACGACCTGGTGACTCAGTGAGACAGCTCTCACCACTGCACCAGGCCTGCCCTTCAAAATAAATACACAACAATATTGTTAGGAATTTATTTTATAATTATGATAATGCAGTTTCAAATACAGATGACTAGATAGAGGATAATGGCAATTCGCATGATCATCTATTCTCCATTAAACAATTCGTACCAAAACTTTTACATGCAAATTTTACTGTACTAATGTTAAGCATTTTCATAAGTGTCACAAAATGCATAGCTAAGATAAAATAAAAGCAAAGCCACTCCTCCAATGTAACGTATTACTATTGACATTATCAGATAAATGGAATTTTTGTTTTATTTAGGTTGGGACTCAGAACACAGGTTTACCTTGCAACTGAGCAAGGATTGTTTCGATCTATCAGCTTGCCTTTACCATCTTGACATTGAGATTATTAAGTTTGCATAATCCTAGGTCCTTCCTTGTCCGCATGCTAGAGCAGCAGTAGTAGAACCTGCAACCAAAGTAGCTGCCACCTGCCGATGTCAATGATGTGTGCTCCTGACGAAGGGAAATGAATTTGAAGGGGTAACTTGTCTGAAGAAAGCAAATACACAAAAACACTTAAAAAGTGAAAACAGGAAAAAGATGATGTAAAATACTTCTGAAAGTGTAAATGAAGAGAGTACAAAGTGGTATTCTTGCAAGATAAGAACCACCTTTGAGGTGGGCAATGAATGGGATGAGAGCAGAAAAGGAACAAACACTTCATAAAGCGATTAAGCGAATGAATAATGAACCAATGTGGAATTGGTTGTCAGTAGGAAACCCCATGTAGTTCTGAAAGATTGGGGCTCGAGACTGCAGCATACAGAAAATGATGCATACTAGTAGGAACTATAACCTGGTTAATCACCAGAGATAGCACCACAAACTTGCCTCTGATATTTTCATTTTCTTTCAGGGTCGTTTGGATCCTTTCATTTTTGGGAATTGGAATTTACTTAATAAACTAGGTTATTTGGCTTGAAATTTGACATTCCACAACTTTCTAAAAGTTCACATATATAGTTTATCTCAAATTCTTAGGGTGAAAGATGGAAATTGATTCTATAGATCACCATGTTATGTTTTTACTTTACAACTTATAACACGCTACTTAACTCACTCCTCTACGGTAGAAATGCAACTATTAAATATCTCTCGTATGACCCACAGTAATATACAAATATATAAGCATAATTAATCTATGTATAAATTATGATAATTAAAATAAATTCAATTCCAAGGATCGGGCCTTAAGGAACCTTTGCTTGCTTGCGATCAAATATGCTTAAAAATATGCAAGGAGCATTACTCTTTTACATTTATATTCATGCAAATACAGTAGATTAATTATTTAAAAAATAGAACTTTCATTTGTATACGTTGGGGATCACATCATGCAGGATGCAGTTAATTGTACTAAAATATTAGATCTTACCTTTTCTTTCTCAACAAGTCTCCTTTCCATACTAAACCATCAATAGTCTTATTTTCTTTTTTTGGTGTTTTCAGGTTCACACTCACACGTCAAAGTAATTGCAGGTACTGCTGCTAATCAAACATTTCTTGTATCTAAAACCAAAAAGGATATTTATTTACACACAAATTCTTATCTGTCTCTACTATGACTCTTAACACTATCTTATCCCTATTAACAACACCAATTGGTGCCTTTCTATCCAGACACAGTATAATGACGTCCTGTTCTCTGCTTGCCAGCTACATCATCGGTGGCCACAATAGTGGTTCTTTTGTTGATGGTGGCCACTGTACTCTATCTTTCACTTAAGACAAGATATAATGAGGAGATACACTTGAAGGTCGAAATGTTTCTCAAGACTTATGGAACCTCAAAACCCACAAGGTACAGTTTTGCAGAAGTTAAGAAGATAACAAGGAGATTCAAGGAAAAGGTAGGCCAAGGTGGATTTGGAAGTGTATACAAAGGTGAGCTACCAAATGGAGTGCCTGTGGCAGTCAAAATGCTGGAGAACTCTATTGGAGAGGGAGAAGAATTCATTAATGAAGTTGCAACCATAGGACTAATCCACCATACAAATATTGTGCGCCTCTTGGGCTTTTGCTCCGAAGGAACAAGGCGTGCCCTTATTTACGAATACATGCCTAATGAATCATTGGAGAAATATATTTTCTCATGTTATTCAAATACCTCTCAAGAACTCATTGTACCAAACAAAATGGTAGATGTTGCTTTAGGCATTGCCCGAGGTATGGAATACCTACATCAAGGTTGCAACAAGCGCATCCTCCACTTTGACATCAAGCCTCACAACATCTTGCTAGACTTTAACTTCAATCCGAAGATCTCAGACTTTGGGCTTGCAAAATTATGTGCAAGGGATCAAAGCATTGTTACATTGACAGCAGCAAGAGGCACTATGGGGTATATTGCGCCGGAGCTATATTCTCGTAATTTTGGGGGCGTATCCCACAAGTCAGATGTTTATAGTTTTGGCATGCTGGTGTTAGAAATGGTAAGTGGAAGGAGGAACTCAGACCCAAGTGTTGACAGTCAAAATGAAGTTTACCTCCCAGAGTGGATCTTTGAGAGAGTAATCACTGAGCAAGACTTCGTACTTTCTAGGGAAATGACTGGAGCAGAGAAAGAAAAGGTGAGACAGCTAGCCATGGTGGCCCTATGGTGCATTCAGTGGAACCCAAGAAATCGACCCTCGATGACAAAAGTGGTGAACATGTTAACAGGGAGGTTGGAGAATCTGGAGATACCCCCAAAGCCTTTTGTCTAATATGAATTCTGAAAGTCATCCAGTGTCATAAAAATGGAGAATACATTGTCATTATGTACTGAATATTTGAGACATAAAATTAGCTCCTCCTGTGTTGCAGAGTAGTCCATAGTGCCAGCATGAGAACGTATTTCGATCTTTCCACCATATCTGTATCTGATGCACTAATAGTAGCATATGTATCTGATGCACTAAAAGTATCTTGTCAGCTTGTCACCATGTAGTGCTACTTATCCGCAACACATCATATTTAAAGTGGACTTGGCTTGTGTGTAATAGCTTAAAGAGTCCTTTTGTTTCAACTCCTAATGATCTTGCCATTATTTAGTTCCATCCTATTCTGCCCCTTTCTGTAGTACATGTCCTTTTTACAACTCAATCAATGAGGCAAAAATTTAAAATTAGAGTGAAATACACTGACGGCCCTTTAACTTGTCGGCCTGTGCCAGTTTGGTCCACGAACTTGCAAACGCGGAAAATGGACCCCTGAACTTGTCAAGTTGTTCACCGCAGGCCCATTTCCCATCTGGCGCGGCCTCCAGGCGACGTGGCAATTTTGCCGCTCCTGGACGTTGGCAATTTTGCAGAGGACACCTTGAGTTGTATTGAAAAGGGCAACTAACCCACTATTCGCATCTGCCCTCTCTCTCCAGACTGTCTTCCTCCTCTTGCTCCTGTCGTCGAGATCAGATCGGCACCATGCCTAGCGAATCAAGGGCGTCTACGGCAGATCCAGCTGATATACCACTGATCCAATGCAGGGAGTGTGGGCGGGCAAGGGTGGTGCGCCAGGTATCGAAACAGGAATGGAGCTTTAGGCAGGCGTTCTACTGCTGCCTGTTCTACAAGGTTAGTGGTTCAATTAAGATGAAGTTCTTGTTCTTACTAGATTCGAAGCTGATATTAGGGATTTTTGTAGCGAGATGGAACCAGTTGCCCTTTTTGGAAGTGGGAGAAGGAGTACTTGGAGGTGGTGTTCGGCAAGAACACTGCTGTCCCTCAAGCAAGTCCCAGCAATGTAGGCACAACCATGGTGGAATCCCTTGATTTGAAGATAAACACTGATGGAGGAGTACGCAACAATGGTTGGGTGAAGAGGGAAACTGTATCTGCTGAAATGGTGAAAGAAGTAGTCATGGTGCTGAAGGCTATATTTGTAGCCTGTGTTGCTCTACTGTTTGTGCTCATTCTTGTTCTGTTAGTCCTATTGGTGAAGTAGGTAAATGTGTAATCAGTACTGTTGCTTTTGTGTTGCTGAAGGCTGTCACAAGGATTCATGTTGGTTTTGTGTATTTAGTAATGTTGGATTCAGCAATCATGATGTATTCAGTAACATTATGTTATCAATGCATATGTTCAGTAATGTTATCAAGCCATGTATGAAACCATCAATGAATAACAACAAGATGATGTTCACAAATCTTGCAATGTCAATTCCTCAAGATGGAACCATAACTGCATGATGTATTGTCACAGATTTTGTGTCCATCAACCATTTACCAAGGACATTGAGACACATGTCATTGTCCTAGATGTAAGGCACTAAGTAAGTACTATCTTCCTGTGCTTATATGGAAGAACCAAAAGATGTATCTATCTTCCATGTCTGGCTGGAAGAACCAAAAGGAAGCAAAATAAGCCTAAAGCATCAACTAAGATGTTTTTGCTACTGCTTTACAGGTTCACAGAAACTAGCACAGTGAGCCTATTGACCTATACAAAAGCATCACAGACCACATTCATAGGTCTTCAAGCCTTCTTGTCTTGGTAGTTGTATTCTTCTTGGTCTTGCCTTGCTGATTACATGGGCCACTTGGCGCATTGCGCTTCAATCTTCCTCTTCTAGCCTTGCTTGCAGTGGTAGGGGGCGCTGGCCTCGTAGTAGGCTGGTTCCTGCTGATGAATGTGGAATCTGACAATGGTTCCTTTTGAAGTTGTCTTTTGCTTGTTTGTGAGGACTGCATGGAATCAAGTTAGGTGTTTACAAGTTCAATTTGATAGAGTGGATGAAGTTTATGTGCACTTACATCTGCATGCAATTGAGAAAGGACAGTTCCTTTCATTTTTTATAGCACTGGCTGGCTCCCCTCTCCAAACTACATGGAAGCCTACAATGCCATGCTTCAGAGTGTATGAACTATTAATCCAATTAACATGCTAAATGAGTTTCACTTACTTGGCTAGTAACTGGTTCTTCAAAACCTTTAGCTGATCCTCCTTCTTGGCCATGATCCACATTTGGTTTGTTTTGAGGTTGTAGTTCAGGCCTGATCCTAGCCTTGCTCAGCTTGCAACCACATCTGTTATGCCCTTCTGTTCCATAATAAGAGCAAGTAATGACAGTACCATGCTTCGACATTTTAGGACCAAACTTGCCCATGACTTCATGAGGTTGCTTCCTTCTGTTCTTGGGTGGCCTACCAACTTTTTTCTCATAGACTGGTGGAAGTACATTTGGTCCTTGAACTTTCTGCCACATGCTCCTATCTTTGCAAGGATAAATCTTGGGACCATATGCTTTTAGGTAGGTTGCAGTAGAGTAGCACTCATGAACCATGGACTCAGGAGGAATTCTCTCTATCCTCAAACAAGATATAGCATGAGAGCAAGGGATACCAATCAGCTCCCACCTCCTGCAATCACACTGCCTAATGCCTAGGTCCACTATGTATTGTCTGTCCACCACATTAACCTGAAAAATGCCATTACCAGCAGGCTGTACATAACAGGTGTTTGCCCACTGAGAATTCTTATGAAGTTTCTTCCTTATCTTGGGGCAAATAGGACCATCCCACACAGTCCCTACATCCTTGTCCTTTGTATGATACCTTGTCATCAGTTGTGTCTTCACTTGCTCTAACATGCTCAAGATAGGCATTTCTCTAGCATCTAGTATGTATTTATTAAACACCTCACAACTATTGTTTAGTAGAATATCACACTTGGAGAAAGTGCTAAAGAAAGCCCTAACCCAAGTATTTGGTGGCATCTTTTCTAGCCATTCAAAAGCCTTTTGGTTACGGTCCTTCATCTTCTCCATGTTCTCATTCCACCTAACTACTGTGGTTGACCTAGCATAAGTCTAGAGTTGGTTCTTTAAGTTCTCACCTTTGAATTGCATCTAGAAATTGGAATATAGGTGTCTAACATAGAACCTGTGTTCAGATTCTAGGAAAACCTGTGCAACAGCGGGTACTAGACCCTACAAATGGATAAGAATAGATTAGCATGAATACTACAACTGCAAGTTAAGAAGATGTGCAAAAACTGGTACCTTCTGTTTGTCAGTCATGATAGTCCATGGGTATGTGTTTTCAATGCCTAGGTCTTGTTTCAATGTTTCCAAGAACCACTTCCAAGTAGCCAGAGACTCAACTTCTACAACTCCAAATGCAATTAGATAAATGCAGTCATTTGGATCAATTCCAATTGCAGTGAGCATTATCCCTCCATGCTTAGTCTTAAGGTGGCAACCATCTAGGTAGATTATAGGTCTACAACCAGCTAGGAAGCCCCTCTAGCAGGCATCCAAAGAAACGTACAAGGATGAGAATAGGTTTCCAGCAAGATTAAGATAGAAAGTGCTCCCTGGATTGCTTCTTCTCAATTCATGTGCATAATCCCACAACTTATTGTACTGCTCTTCTTCATCACCAAGTATCACCTTCATAGCAAGTCTCCTGGCCCTAGCAAGTGTAGTTCTTGGGGATGTCAGATTCCATTCCTTCTGGACTATCCTTGCAAAGTTAGTTAGTGTCATCTTCTGGTCAGCCCGAAATGACTCTAAGTATGTATGAGCAAGCCACTTTGAGGTACATCTCTTCAATGCCCACTTCCTTTGGCAAGTGTGCTGCCCATGATAAGTCTTGATCATCAACCCCTGAGTCCTACTATCACTTGAAGCATATAAATTCCAAAGACACCCATCTGCAGAATGAGCCTTCAACCTTTTCTTCTCATTCCTGGGCATCTTGATCTCTACCCTCTGCTTCATGCTATATTGTGTGATAGCCTTCCTAAGCATTTCAACTGATTCAAATATCATGCCAACTTTGAAGATGGGATTGTCTATGTCTTCACTTTTGAATGACTTAAACCATAGACCTTGTCCTTCTTCATCAGATTCTGGCAATTCTAGCTCAAATTCATCTGTTAACTCCTCTCCATAAATAGCCAAAGATGAAACCTTTTTCCCCTTTAGTTTGCTACCAACAGCCTTCTTGCCCTTACCTTTCTGCTGCCCTTTGCTGCCAGTCTCCTCTGTGACATCCTCATCAACATAGTCCACAAAAATATTATCATCATCTCCTTCTAAATCATAATCACTATCACTGAAATCAAAGTCATCTTCACTGTCACCATCATCTCCATGCACATCATGCTCATTACTACTTGATTTATTTAGGCGACACCAGAAACCCTAAACCCTAGCCACCAAAACAAACGAAATTGGCCTACACCAGGAACAAGTACATGCACACCACCACATCCTAAAGGAACTAATAAGAAGGTTTTGAGCTTCAATTGACTAACCATAGTCAGGTGGTGGTTCCCCTTCTGGTCGCAGGCATGGCGCCATGCCATAGATTCACCACGATCGCGGCAGAAACTTATGCTCCCCAGGTATGTCTCGTCATTGCTCTTCCGCAGAATCTTGCAAAGTCGCCGACTTTTGCCTTCGTTGCAAGCCGCCTCACCCCCGCCGCCGCCTCACCCCCAACACGATGAACTTGAAGAGAAGACAGGATTTTGAAGATTTGACGAGGCGGAGGGGCCTAGATGCATATTGTCACCTGCGTTCGGTATTGAAACATGCGACTCACGTGCTTTGTCCACCATGATGGCGCTGCCACGTCGCCTGGAGGCCGCGTCGGATGGGAAATGGGCCTGCGGTGAACTTGACAAGTTTAGGGGCCCATTTTCCATGTTTGCAAGTTCGTGGACCAAACTAGCACATGCCAACAAGTTAAAGGGCCGCCAGTGTATTTCACTCTTAAAAT